TAGAATACTTCAGTAAACTAAATTTAATTTGCTATAAAAAATATGTTCTCTAAAAGGAGTTTTCAAGTATGCTAGCTCTCCGCGGGCCGGACAAAATCTGTCCGCGGGCCGGATGTGGCCCACGGGCCGTAGTTTGGAGACCCCTGATTTAAAGCATCAACAACATTGCACTAAACTTATAGTAAAATTTAATTATGTTAATATTTCTGAAATCTTCGTTCTCCAGAAACTGCTGGCAGAAGTGATTTAAAGCAATAGAAAGGGACGAACACGGCAAATCAAGCCATTAAAAGAAAAAAAAAAAAAGAAAAAAAAAAAGGGGGAATAAAATTTGGGCAGTAAATAACACTAGAAATGTCATGTGCTGCCATCTATACAAAAATATTGACGCAATGAAATACTACACGACTGAAGTTTTCTATTTCCTGTGCTGCCATCTATAGCTCAAATCGAAAAATAAAAGTAAATTCTCTTAGAAACTGTTGCAAGTGTTTCCATCTAGTGGGAAAATGAACAAACTAAGTTCTAAAAGTTAAATTTCGAAGAAAATATTTTCATTAAAATTTCCTTCGTTAATGCTTTTTTCTGTTACGTAAAATCCGCAAATTCGTGAATTTTTTCTTAATTTATTTTTGATAAAATAGAATTATTCATTCGTTCCTATAAACTTTTAATATTTATTTGCTTAGTTATTTAAATTAAATTTACTGCATTAGTTTGAAAATGATGCAATGATGTAATAAAAAAAATCGAAAAAGTCAGTTGTGGAGATTAAAATAAGCAAATTGTTTAATGTTTCAAGCGATGTAACGGAAACAGAAACTTTATCTAGGAGCAATGTAATGCACTGAATTTACTGAAACATATCACAAGTTTATATATATATATATACATTACCCGTTTGGTTTGCATATGCATACATACATAGATACATAACATAATTCTGAAAATAAAACACGCGTTACTAATTGAAAGAAAGATATCCGAAATACCAAAGATGCAAACATTGGTTTCATAATAAGAGAAGGTAACTATAAATCCTAACATTTTGGGTCTGATTATGTCAACCGAAGTGTGTTTTGTCTCAGCGATTAGACTGTGGCGGATTAGATAAAAAGTTATGGAATGTTGCGAGGAGTAATGGTAATTGTTAAGTGGAAGGAAGAGACTTTTGCTTCCCGGAAAAAGTGAAAGGCAAAAAGATAGGTTAAGATTTCTCTTGTAGACATTAAAACTGAAAATGCTGTCAAAGATGGCAGTTGTACTTTTTGAGCTCAGCTAGATATCAAAACACCCATGTTCAGAGCTTCAAATGATAGTAGACCTATTTCAAACCAGATTTATGTTATTTTCCCTTGGGTACTAACTAATAATTTTGTAAGCGTTGTAGTAGAACTTCTTTCACGCATATTTTCAAGCAATGGGATGCGTCAATTTGTTGCTTTTATATAATTAAATATGCCATTTTTATTTTCTTTCTATGATTTATGAAATTACAGTTTTGATTATTTGTATTGAAATATGTGAAGGGCAATTCTTTTTTTTTCAAAAATTTTCCTTAATCAATATAACATTCAAATTATTTCGTGTGTATTAATAAGACAGGTCTGCGGGATTAAGACTAAAAAGGAAATACAATGTATTTGCTCTTTAATTTCTATTTAGATAGCAATTTTATTACTTGTTGGCTCTTTATCCTGCTTCATACGAGCAATGCCAGTGAAGGTAAGATAACAGAATCAAAACTAAAGTATACTTGGAATAACTGGATTTTCGTTGTTATTCATTGATTATTGAAAGTTTAAAGTTTCCACATTTCTACCAAACATTTGTAGTAATTAAATCAATAATTTTAGCAGTTTGTTTTGTTTATTTGTTGTTTAGATACTGTTATATTTGAATACTAATCCTGTTGCTCCGTACCGATGTGCGGCATTTATTATCAATATTAGAACTTCATGGACATTTTTAGTGGTGTCGTCTCTTCAATTTGTCTGTCATTCCTTAGAAACAGGATTGAAATTCAAAGACTCGATGGTTATGTCTTAAACGCACTCATTACATATCCCCCCCCCCCCAAAAAAAAACCTAGTCCATTCATCAATTACGTGATTTTAACCTTCTGTGAACAGTGAACCCGCTTTAAGAACTTCAGTTGATTTAGTCTACGGTTCCAACTGATTTTAGCCTTCTTTGAACGTGATCACTCGTGTATATATGTTGTAACTTTATCTGCTTACATGTGATTTATCTTCTCTACATATAATAAAAGAATGAGTCTGTCTGTGTGTGTGTCTGTGTGTCTTTCGTTTGGCTAATAGACCCGCGGCTACGAAATTTGGTACATAGGTGCATCTAGACAAGAGCCAGTGCACCTCGAAGCAATTTTTTCGAAATTCGAATTCGAATTTTTTTAATTTTTTTATTTTATGTTTTGTGACGAAATCGCATCATTTTGAGACATAATGGGCTATAGGAAAGCGAGATTTTACTCTACACACTCCATTTTCACATCGTCATGAAACGTAGGCACTCAGCTTTTTTACGAACTTAAAATAAATTTTATGTTTCAATAAATCGATTAAATACGAATTTATTTAACGAAGGGAGCTTAACACGTTTTCAACGGGATTTTTTCTAAAAAAGTTTATTTTTAAAAATGTACAGCTTATTTTCTTTGATTTTTGGACACGTTAAACTTTCATCCTTGCGACTGCTTTTACAAAAGGAATTTTGGAAAAATGATAATATTTTGTATTTAAAAATTTTTTTTTTAAATGAAGCTTCCGAGTACACTTCTCACATCTTTAAAAATGTGTTTTTCGCAACAATTTTCCCGCCTTATTTTTGCTGATAGATTTTTGATGAAATCGCATCATTTTGAATAGTTTCATTTTTTTAGAAATATGGGTTTGACAACAATTTTTCATCGTATTTCTTATGTCACTGTTTTTAAGAGATTGGCATATTTCATTGTCATTTATATATATATATATATATATGATACATTTTTATTGATTTTTTTTGATAAAGTTGTTCTACAAAATAAAATTCTGCGCGGAATTTTATATTTTTTGAGTTGCTTTCATGTTATTTTTTTCTTATTTCACTGTTTGTAAGATATTGAAAAGTTTTGCATGATTTTTTTTCTTCAACGTAAAGTTGGTTAATTTTTTAATTAGGTTAATTAATATTTGTATTAAGGGATATAACTTATTTCATTGTAATTTTTTTATCTTGAAAACGTAAGATAAAATATCATTAATTATACTTTGCTTTTCACAATTTTTTGTTTTTTGTATTCTTTTATGTTACTTATTGCTCATTCCACTGTTTTTAAGACATTGAAAAGTTTTGAGTGATTTTTTTTTTAGGACGCAAAGTTCTCAACCTCCTTTATACCACCTGAGTTCTTAAGATTTTGCAAAGGGAAGTTGGTTAATTTATTTATTAGGATAATTAATATTTGTATTAAAGGATATTGCTTATTTCATTGTAATTTTGTTATACGTAATAACTTTTTTTTTGTACGAAGTTGTTCTGCAGAGTAAAATTCTACGAAGTTTTTAAATTTAACATTTGGTGTTCCCTTCAGCCATTTTTCCGGTACATTTAAAAGCCAGACGAAGGCTGGCAGCGAAGCTGCTAGTATGTTTATAAATGCTTTATGTATTAATGAAAAATATTTGTGTGTTGTTGTCGTGACTTCAGAACAAACCCACGAAATTCATTAATTCATTAAATTCCACGAAATTCATCATGGAAGGACAGCAAGATTGCACCTGTCATCGGCAAAGCCTTCAGCACCGTACAGGTGACAGTAAAACTTTGCTCAGTCCCCCCCTCCAATTTTGGAGGAGAGCACGCCGGGGGGGGGACAAGTCCGAGGGTCTCCCACCCCTATTTTCCTACCGCTAACATGTCGAAAGGACTTTCGGCTCGCCACATATTTAGTGTCCACTGCCGCACATATGCTATACATTTACAAACATCCATGGCTTCTTCGGAACTCGAACCTGGGTCCTTCGTTATCACACTGTATCGTCTGGGCTTAGTAATAGGCCTCCTCTAATCACTGTATCGTCTGAGCGGCTTTAAAAATACTTAAATGGTTGTATTTCTTTACACGTTATATGCAGCTTTATGTGAGTTATGTGTTTATTTGTGTTTCATTCAATTTTATGCATATTATGTATTTGTAAATGTTGATGTACCTATAAATATATATAAAACTTCTGTTCAAATGTATGTATTATCGAGCTATTGTCCCGTTAAGTATTACGTAATTAAATCAACACCCTTTGTTTGGGTGTTAATATTTTAAATGAATTCCCGACGATGCATCTCGTAGCCTCAACGAAGGTGTTGGTGTTGGTGTATTTAATTATGGCAAAGCACACGAGGGCTATCTGCCTAAAGGGAGGGATGCCTTTCGTGGAGGACTTTCTAAGGGAAACTGACTCGTATACACGTTACACATGGGGAAAACCACGAAAACGCCCATGCAGCCAGCCCGTTCGCGGGATTCGAACCTCAGACCGAACTACCAGTGTTCAGCGTCTTTACCGCTCGGCCGCTGGTGGGCCCTGTAGCCTCAACGAAGGTATCGGCTCTTCGAATAACGGTGCATGCGGGATAAGTATCTGTTTATTATTGTAAGATGCCAGGCACGCCCGTTCTTCGTCATTAGTGGCCCGTGAACGTGATCGTCCTAGAAGTCTGATGTTTAATACTAAATGCTGATACTTCATAGAGATATTCCTCGCTTTTAGAGGCGATCATTTCGTACATGAGTCTCCAGGAAAGGGCAAATTTACGTCTTCGTATATTGTAGAGTAACAAATAACTAAACAGCATAATAGAAAGCAAAGAATTATATGGTAAATTATGAAATTTGTAAGGTATTTACATAAAGATTGTAATAGAAAATTATCTTCTCCATTTTAATTGTTGAGTGTAGGTTAATGTGGAAACGTTAATCACTTTTATTTTATTTCCAGGCACACGCCGGCTCTGTATCCGACGACTTCGGCTGGTTTCCGAAGCGCATATACGGCCGCTCTTCCGGTGACTTCGGCCAGTTTGCCCAGGTTTAGCCCGCCCACTCTTCTTTCACCTTATCCGGGCATTTCCCATCCGGCCCTAATCACAACGGGACCGAAACAAGAGCTTCCTCTGCACCACTCCAACCATAGGTAATTTCAAACATTTTCACGCGACAACTAATTTAATTTCGTATGATACTTTCACTTTCTAATATAGAATAGAAAAGCTAGAGTGAATCAGAATGGTAAGTTGAATTCATTAATTGTGAGAAGTTTGTGCTTTGGTTGTATTTATTTCATAAGGAAACCTCATAAAAATTGTTATGTACATTGTAAATAATTTAGAAAACGTTAATATGCTCTTTAAGGGACGTAGTATACATACTAATTTTATCGGGGTGTACAATTTTCTCAACTATTTTTATGAATTTTAGGGGTTTTTTTTTCCTATGATTTCATGAATGGTACATATTTTCGTGACTTTCAAATAAATCCACGGATTTTAGAATTTTATTCATTTAATTTTTATACTAGTTAAATGAATTAATTAACCACGCAATATTTTCAATTCACTTTTTTCTTCTTGCCCTCCTCGTCATGCTAAACATTGGTTCGTATCACATTAAATTCGAAAATAAACGAAGCTAGTTACATAAGAAGTGTGTTATATGTTGCTATCTATTAATATCTTTTGAGGGTTAGTTAATAGAAAAAAAGCATTTGAAATCAAAATCTTAACCATAAACTTCTTGCTATTGCCATCTATTGAATAAGTTTGGAAATGAATTCATCACCTAAGCATATATTTAATGCAGGGAGTTTGATTTCTCTACTGTTTTTAATGAACTCTCATTTTAACAATTTAATCATTTAGCAGTCTGATCCGTGCGTAAAGATAAGAATGTTCAAGTTTATACACTGCGACAAAAAAAAAAAAAAAAAAAAAAAAAAAAAAAAAAAAAAAAGGGGGGGGGGCAGTTCTATATCTCACGTTCTAGTGCGCCGATTGACGAAATTCAAATTGCGTTTTTCATCACTCGAAAGCGTGACTTAGGATATGTATTAAATTTATATATAGCATTATTCTAACATAAGTATTTTGACAAAAAATCCGACTTTTTCTGAAATAACATACCAATTTTTTTTTCACATTTCAACTCTACGACTCAAATTATGGCTAGATATTAATTTTTGTAAATTTTGGTGAGAAATTTATGGAAAAATTTTAAAATTTACCTAGGTGCATTTTTCTCAATTTGCGCCAAGAACAATTTACTTGGCGAACTCCTTAATTTATAGAACCTATTTTCCTTTGTCCTTTTTTCTTTGTGCACGAGAAGGGGAAAAAGTCATCGTTCATACTTTCAAATAATTTTATCAAAGTGCTTAAACAACATTTTCGTTATTATCGCTTATAATAAATACGTCAAATTTCAAAACCTGCCAAAATGTAAATTCACGTGTATCTTAGGAAATTTTGAATAAAAGACTAATTTTTTGCACGTATCCTTAGAAATACATCCATTTCAAGATGATGCCAAAACCTTTATAGGTTATAATTCAAAACTTTTTTCGAAAAATTTATGAAAATTATTTAAAAATACAAATTTTAAAAACGAATCATACAAAATTGGCGAATTTTATTTGGATTGAACCTAAATTTCGAAATATGAAAGGAAAAATAAAATAACTTTAATTAAAATAGAGATACTAATTCAGAAGTCAAACAACAAAAATCAGCGTTAATTTACAAAATTTTCACAGGACTAGTTTCGATGGTTTTACCGAACCATCATCTTCAGCTGCAAAACCGCAAATGAACAAGATAGGAAATAATGTTTAGATAAGATAAGAAAGCCTGGACAAGAATAAGCAAGTGGCGCCATCTGTTGGCGAAACCAGAACTAAAACATAATTTCTCTAAAAGCCGAAGGCAAATTTGGATTGGAATTAGGATCGTTAACTAGAACAGAAAGATTTTTATGAATGTGAAATGCCTCTAGAAAATCCAGTTCTCCAATGGAAGATGTTTTTTTGAATAATTTTGGCAGCAGAAAAATTGAAAGTGTGATTTTCGGACCAACAATGTTGAGCAACAGAAGACTTCTGTGTTTCCTTTTTTCTAACATATGCCTCATGTTCTTTGACGCGAAATTTTAAGGCTCTCTTAGTTTGGCCAATGTAAATTAAACCGCACTGGCAAGGAATCCTATAAATACCCCAGGAATTCATATCCGGAATGGGGTCCTTGAGTATAGAAGTTGGAATTTTATTGATGGGAGAGTAAAAAACCCGAAAGTTAAATTTCTGCAAAATATGTGCAACTTTATAGCTAATTGATGGAAAGAAGGGAATGACAACAGAATTTTTATAATCTCCTAAAATAAGAGTGTGGCTTTTAGTGTGTTGAGATGAGAATTTTTTAACTGCTTGATTAATAATGTTGGGTGAAAAGCCCCTGTCAATAGCTATTGCTTTTAAATAATTTAGTTCTTAATCAAGGGCTAGTTTGGAGGAACAAACTTGAAGAGCACGGAAAACATAGGAATAAAATGAAGCTAACTTTTGTTTAGTCGGATGACATGATTTAAAGTGTGGTGGAAGGCAAACCGATGAAGGTTTACGGTAAACTGTAGTACTGAAGTTGGATGTGTTACGTGTGACCAGAATGTCGAGAAACGGAAGAGAATTGCAAGTCTCAAGTTCAAAAGTGAACTGAATAGCAGGATCAATAGAATTCATTGTTGAAAGAACTCTATTTAAATCATCTTTATTACCTTCAAACAGGGTAAAAGTATCGTCTACGTAGCGGAACCATGCCGGGAAGTTTAAAGTTTCAAACAATTTTGATTCATAATAATGCATGTAGATATCAGCCAGGATGGGACTGATGGGGATTTCCCATGGCTAATCCCTCAGTTTGCTTGTAATATTTATTTTGGAAAACAAAATGTGTTTGTTTCAAACAGAGTTGAGTGAGAGAAATTAGCTCATCAATTTCGATGCAAGAGAAATGAAATTCGCGAAGTCTGGTTTCTAGACATCTTAATGCACCCTCCACTGGGACATTGGTGAATAATGATTTTACATCAAAAGAAACCATGAGTAAATTACGAGGAGAAATGTTTTTAACCTTTTTTACAAACTCTATTGAATTTTTTATGGTGTAAATGTTATTGTCTAATAGAGTGGAAAATCTAGAAACTAAATATTTAGCTAATGGATACGAGGCAGTACCTAAATTTGATACAATAGGGCGGAAAGGAATACCACTTTTATGAATTTTGGGAAGAGCATATAATCTGGCACAATTCGCAACAGATGGGATAAGCGAATGTTTTAAGTTGCTTGAAATGATTTGCGAAGATTTGATCGCAGTTTTTATTTTGGATAAGTCCGAAGGTGAAGGATCTTTAGGGATCGGATTATATGGTCCTTCGTTTAAGAGTTTAGTGACACCATGGATGTAAGTGTTCTTATCCATGACGACTATCTGGCCACCTTTGTCGGCCTTTGAAATGACAATATCCGGGTTAGAATGAATCTCGCGCATTGTAGCTCTTTCTCTCGCAGTTAGATTTGGTTTCAAAGGTTTATTATTGAATTTCTCATTATGAGCGATAAGATGCCTAATCATCACCCAACATTATTAATCAAGCAGTCACCCAACATTATTAATCAACATTATTAATCACCTTCACCCAACATTATTAATCAAGCAATAATAGCTTTCACCCAACATTATTAATCAAGCAGTTAAAAAATTCTCATCTCAACACACTAAAAGCCACACTCTTATTTTAGGAGATTATAAAAATTCTGTTGTCATTCCCTTCTTTCCATCAATTAGCTATAAAGTTGCACATATTTTGCAGAAATTTAACTTTCGGGTTTTTTACTCTCCCATCAATAAAATTCCAACTTCTATACTCAAGGACCCCATTCCGGATATGAATTCCTGGGGTATTTATAGGATTCCTTGCCAGTGCGGTTTAATTTACATTGGCCAAACTAAGAGAGCCTTAAAATTTCGCGTCAAAGAACATGAGGCATATGTTAGAAAAAAGGAAACACAGAAGAAGTCTTCTGTTGCTCAACATTGTTGGTCCGAAAAATCACACTTTCAATTTTTTCTGCTGCCAAAATTATTCAAAAAACATCTTCCATTGGAGAACTGGATTTTCTAGAGGCATTTCACATTCATAAAAATCTTTCTGTTCTAGTTAACGATCCTAATTCCAATCCAAATTTGCCTTCGGCTTTTAGAGAAATTATGTTTTAGTTCTGGTTTCGCCAACAGATGGCGCCACTTGCTTATTCTTGTCCAGGCTTTCTTATCTTATCTAAACATTATTTCCTATCTTGTTCATTTGCGGTTTTGCAGCTGAAGATGATGGTTCGGTAAAACCATCGAAACTAGTCCTGTGAAAATTTTGTAAATTAACGCTGATTTTTTTGTTTGACTTCTGAATTAGTATTTATTCGGCGTGTTATTGTGTCTTAATTAAAATAGAGATATTAATAGATATGTATCAAATTCAATTAACATTAAGGAGATACAATTTTGAGAGCTATTTTTTTAAAAAACTACTCGTGCGATTTTTTTCAAAACTTGGCAGTTTTGGCATAATTTGAGTAGTAGAATCGAAATATGGAAAAAAATTGACATGTCATTTCAGGAAAAGTCCGATTTTGTGTCAAAATACCTATATTAGATCATTGGTATATATAAATCTAATACATATTCTAAGTCACACTTTCGAGACATGGAAAACGCAGGCTAAATCTCGTCAATCGACCCAATAGAACGAGAAATATAGAACTGTCCTCCCCCCCTTTTTTGGGGGGAAGCGCAGTGTGCTTGTACGTCAGGGGTTCTCTACCAGGGCAAATTTCATAGTTTCAAAGGGATGTGGTTAGCCTTTGTTTACCTGTTAAGTAGCATTTAGCTTTAGTTTATGAATATAAAAACCTATTTTTATTCCAGTTTTGGTATTTATCAACATTTTCTGTACTTTTTCTTGTTTAATCTATTAAACATATTAAAAAATAGTATAAATTCAAATAAATATATATGTATTTTTCGTGTGTCAGAAAGAAGGGGAGAATGATCATTCTTTCAGTGGTAAAAGGGGTGCACGGGGCAAAAAAAAAGTATAGAACTCCTGTTGCAGTGGATGTAAGGAACGTCGTCAAAATATAGTAGTCGTCAAAGTATAGTCAAAAGTGTACTGACTATCCTACGAATATAGGATAGTCAGTACACTTTTGGAGAAAAAATTGTTTTTAATATCAAGAGTTTATTTACTAGTAAATTAATTTTAACTTATGAAAACTGAGACTTCATAGGCAAAATTTTAACTTTACTGTGTGGGCTCCATCTTAATCTTCATTTCATTATGCTTGTTTACGTTAGATGGTAAGTCATAGTTTGATTCTCTTGTATATAGTTCTTCATTTTGATTTTGCTCATTTTACTTAACATGCAAAACATTGCGATGACACCCGTTATCACAGTGCTACATGATTATGATAAATCGGCATTATTTTTGTTTTAGACTGATTCACTATCATTAAGATACAATAACACGCCGAACAAATATTAATTTAGAAGTCAAACAACAAAAATCTGCGTTATATTTCCAAATTTTTACTGAACTAGTTTCGATGGTTTTACCGAACCATCATCCTCAGCTGAAAAAGCGCAAATGAACGAGATAAGATATAATGATTAGATAAGATAAGATAAGAAAGCCTGGACAGGAGACAAACCTGGACAGGATTCACTATCATTTAAAAATCATATTAAAAACTGAACTTTTCTCGTCTTAACCAAATGAAACAATTAAAATTTTATTTTTGTTAATTAATTAATTAATTTTTATAGGTGTGTGAGTGCGTGTGTGAAGTATTATAATGTAGCATCAACTATCATTTGCTGAAGCAGCTGTAGAAAGAATATGTACCTAATGAAAGCAAAAAACTAAATCTTAAACACACTTTAGTGTTCATTACAATATTTATTACTTGTTAAGTTTTAGATGATTTTACGATATCATTTAGAAAATAACACATTCGATTAATAACAATATCACATTGGATCAAATATAACAATTTCACATAGGATCAGATTGCTCAATTAGCCTTCAATTGCAATTTTGTCATCTGAGTAAACATTTCAGAATTAAATACTGGTAGTCAGGGCCGGCACCAAAGCCGGTGCAACAGAATTTAGGAAGAAACAGGACTTAAGAAGTCGCCGATGCACAACGAAACATCAAGCGCCGTCACAGCGCTGTAACTTTTCCCGTTTTTTGGAGTTTGTAGCAGTTAAAAGTCCAGTTTATTTTCTGAAATTATCCAAAAAATACCTTGAGTTGTTGAATTAGATTTCCCTGAAGCTTTCCAAATTCATCAAAATTTGCCATTATTTGTTTAATTATTTTAATAGGTGCAGATATATATCAGCAGTTGATGACTATGTGAATTTGTGATCACTTTTGTTTAAGGGTATTTGTGTACTATGTTGTAGACCTTTTAATACTGCTCGAATAAAAACTGAATGTAAAGCTAGACCAATCATGTGCAGAAGTTTAAAAAAAAAAAAAAATCTTTCAGAGCCTTGGCGAGTTCTTGCCAATTTAGCCATTTTTCTGGAAATTCCACAAAACGCACATTCGGAGCACTTGAAGCAATTTTTCTCGAAGCTTCTAGAACAGATAAACAGGTAGAAGTGCATGCGGCACCAGAGACTTCACTACAGAATATAACAGGTATTGCTCCAGTACACTAACCAGCTAGAACAGTGTTTCCCAAGGTGGGGCACACGCCCCACAAGAGGGCAATTTTTAAAAGAAGCAATTCGAAACTGGACTCAGAGTTCAGAGTTTAAGTTAACTGTATGGCTACTCTCATTCGCTACTCGAGCTGGAAAAACCTCCAGTATAAACAACTGTCCGTCATGTTAGTAGCCGTGATTTCATTGTTTAGAAGTTAGAGTTCAACTATGGTTATACAGGGCCGATACTAAGCATTTCGCTCCATTTGTTCTGAATGACGCAAAATGCTTAGTACCGGGATCTCAGTTTCTGCAGTGTTTCACAGTAACGTTCAGCATTCACCTTTGGTGTTAATTTGAAATAAGAATCCGTTAAAATGTTGTAAAATATATATCTTTGTTTTACATATATTATATATATTATTTCCTAAACAGTATTGATTAATTGATTGTATTATCTCCTAAGTTTAATTAAAGTAGAATTATTTTAAAAGTGTGAATCCATACTGGTAAGTTATATTTTGAAAGATGTTTTGAAGTAATTTGAAAGCAAAATGTTAATAATGTTTTAACGGGGACTGGAGTTAAATCACCATGAAGAATAAAATTTCAATTGTAAAAGGAAAAATTAAAACATCTAATCATTGTCATTGATCGGAAATTAGTTGACTTTTCAAGGGGAACAAACCAACTCCCGTTCAATGAACAATAATTGATAAAAATACGTAAATACGAAAGTGTTTCGTCTTTACTCGAGTTATAAGTTAAAACCAAACCGGCAATTCTAGTCAGGCCAAATATTTCCGCGAATAGAAGGAATTATGAACCAATGCTGATACTCAAAGAACTTATTCTTATGAAGCATTTTAGTCAATTCAATTTGGAGTAAAAATCAATTACTGTAGAGAAATCCTATTTAACTCGAGTAACCGTCCCCGACACTTTCATGTTTATGCATTTGAGTACTATATTATTTGTAGAAATTAAACATTGGAAATTGTCATTATGAAATCGAATTCAAAGTAAAGTTGAAATAAACATAGAAGATTACAAAATAAGATAAATAATGCAAACTTTGTAAAAACAAATCAAAGACATTATAAAAATAATATAGAAAATAATATAAATAAGATCAGTGAATGTACATGAAGATATAAAGGCCAGAAAAGGTATTAAGTAACTTACATACATTATATATATTAAGTAACTTACATACATTATATATGTTATATATCTTTTATCTTTTATATGTTTTATATATATTATATATCTTTGTTTTACATATTTTAAATCTTTGTTTTTAAAAATATATACAATGTATAAATATATATGACGTATAAATGGTACGTAAATTAAATTGGCAATTTTTATTATTTTCAGTTTTAGAAGCAACATTTTAAATTCTATTGGTAATTTTTATTAATTACAGTTTTAGAAGCATCATTTTTCAAAAAAAAAAAAAAAAAAAAAAAAAAAAAAAACAATTTCCCCCCCTCGTTGAGGTAAATGTATCATACATTTTAAAATATACTGCAGTTTTAGCCTACGTTTACTCCAGTTCATGTTATTATTAGTATTTTTTTAGTTTTTAATTGAGAGGGCATAAGACTTTTAGAAAGGCTTAGTTGGGGCATAGCACAAAAAAGGTTGGGAAACACTGAGGTAGAGTATGAAAAACTAGAATTGACTGTATGCTTTTTCCCCTAAGGAACATGAGTTATACACTGAGTTGTTACATTTAAACATAAGAGGGTAATAAGGTAAAATTTGGCAAAGTTACATAATATAACGCAAACTGTTACTTCCTTAGGCAACCTGACTTACTCGCATGTGTGTTGCATTTCAGCAGTACACCAGTTCTGTTATTAATTTTAAAGTCGCGCGATTATATTGAGCTCAGGCTCAGCAAAACTATTGACTTAGACTTCATGTAAGCGATGTTAATATTAGCGATATTAATGATCTGTAGTATTTTTTGGGCTTTCAGGAGTGTTTGCCATATCGCTGTTTTCCACCTTGAACTATGTATAGTTACTTACCTACCGTATGAACTGCTATTTATTTTAATAAAGCGTCAATTTTTTTTCTTTTTATTTGGCGTAGTTCACTAAGGAGTTCTTTATGAACTCAAAAGAAGCAACAATATGAAAGACCCCATTTTTTTTTTTTTTTTTTTTTTTTTTTTTTTGCAAAACACTTCGGAATTACGAGTTTGCTTTATATGTATTCAGGCTAGTATTGTAATTAAAGTCAACTAATGTTTATAGATGTATTTACTGCTAATTCATTTCTCATATGATTCACAATAATCACATGGTTATAGCTTGTTTGATGCTTTTAAACTATCTTTAACTATCTCGAGCGATTTTACTGTCTGATAATTGGTAAGCTCTAGTACTTTTCTCAATCTCTTGCTTTTATTGGGTTATTAATTATTCTTTGAATTTCTAGAACATTACCGGAGTATCCAGGTGAACAAAAGTACAATACGAAACCCGTCACATCTACAAGCCATAATAGCACGTCTAACAGCACCGAAAAGAAGACGCACATAAAGAAACCACTTAACGCCTTTATGCTGTATATGAAGGAGATGCGGGCCAAAGTGGTTGCTGAATGTACCCTCAAAGAGAGCGCAGCAATCAACCAAATACTAGGAAGGAGGGTGAGTGAAGATGCTAGTTGTTTAAATTAAGTGCGCAAACTAAACTCACGGCAAATGCAGTCTTTGCATTGTTTATACTTGTGCAGGATTAATGAAATCAAATTTGCGTAAAAATTAATAATACAGTGTTGATCTGATAAATTTAATTATGAACATTAACGTCATCATAAAAATCATTGTTTAAATTATTTTAATAATTAATTAGTCTTTTTCGTCGAAAATAATTCCAGCAATTTGATTATTATCGTTTTCTTTCCTTTTATTCTTCTCTTTTTCCTATGAAAATGAGCGAAATAATTTGATTGTTCCCTTGTTCCCGTTTCCTCCCCCCCCCTTGCTGATAAAATTGCGAATTATTTTTTATCTTGTTAATTAAATTTCCAGTTCTGTCTTTAAAATCCTATTAGAAATATGAAATTCCGAAGAACTCTTGGCAGTTTAATGTTAACGGAAAAGTCTTAAGCTTCGTATTAAGAAATATGAAACTTTCTTTGGAAAGATGCTTTCGATATTTAATACATCACTCTTTGTTTCTACCTTAATCTAATTATTATTCGATTGTTATTATTAATTAAGCATCGAAAAGAAAAGAATTTATTTTATTAATTATTGTTTGTAATCTTTATCCTATCACTGTTTGCTACTCTTAATCTAGTCATTATTCGGTAAGCAGGACAGGACAGGACTAAGTGGGAGAAGAAGCACCAACGCATCGCCATTGGCAGAACTGATGTCGCTCCTTCACACTAACCGTCTTCAGAAGAACACCTCCACAGGGCGCACTTACGCCACGCATCGGTGTTAATTGAAAAGTTATCATTAGGGCACAGAGAACTTGTGATACAGAGCATGGCCGGGAGATACAGTTGCTGATGACCGAAACGACTACTAATTTTCGTTTTGCGAAAACTATGTAAAACAATGTGTGTCAAACTCGTAGTCTGAAACTCATTTTTGCACGGCCCTCGGTTCAACATGAGAAAGTAGAAATTAACACGGAAAAAAAATGTAGCTACAGTATACTAATAAATGTTCACCGAATATCGAAACGTATATACAACCTTGGCAGCCATATAGGACTCGTAAGATGGTCTCTTTACAGAAATATTTAGTCCAATTACAGATGGAGTTAATAACAGAAATTTAGTAAGATTCCAAGTCAGCTTTAAGTAAAAGATTCGGTGAAGTGAGGAAGACGAATTTTACTAACATTTACCAGCGGAATTCTCAGAAATCCGCAAAATCCCATCGTACGTGATTTCTTTGTTCTGTAGTACGTATTAGTGTAACAACTTTCCTAACTAAAGAAAAGCAACACCCGTATCTCAAGTTAACAGACATTCATCTGGCCTGTGCTCTGAAACTTGCTTCTTCAAGCAGCAAGTCTCTTTGTATCTAAAAAGCTCGTTGCAGGGAAAAGATGCCAGGTGTCGAGAAAGAAGCAATAGGTGTTCCTTTTTATGGCCTTCCTATTATTTAAAGATTTGCATTTTCCCCTTGCGACCCTGGCACTGGACTACTATAAGGGTCGTAAGCGACCTACACTGTATGTACACCGATGACTATTTAGCCCACTGACATACAGAGTTTGACATGCCTGATATGAAAGAACATCATTCTGTTGGACTTTCTTAAAAATTTCATATGCCACCCAACCGGTATAGTGGTTTGCATCGCTGACTGATGTGCCAAAGGGCTCGGATTCGAATCCCGATTGCATGTATGTTTGTAAATGCATAGTGTCGGTGCGACATGGCGGCACTCTAAATATGCGGCGAGCCGAAAGTCCTCTCGTGGGGTTTGGTGGAAGAGGAGAAGGATGGGAGACCCTCCGACCCTCTCTCCGAGGTGCTCTTCATCCAAATTGGGAACGGAACTGAGCAAAACCGCACTGCTCAAGGCTGTTGCCAACGGCAGACGTATTCTAGCGCTCCTTGCCACGAGGTATCCTGTGGGTTTGGGCTGACTACCTCAGACAAGTGAGCATAAGCAACAACAGCAAGCTAAAATCTTCCAAAACCTCAATGATTTTGCTATATTTTACTTTCTTTCTCATCGATAGACGCCATTATCAGTTTCTTTCTTTATTCATAAAAAAGGTGACATTCCGTACCTTGTCAATAATCTTCGAACTTTGATTTTATTAATTCTTAGGCTTTGGTTAACGCATTAGACTTGATGCGTATTTGGATTGTAATCGACATTTTTTTATCTACACTGCTAAAAATATCATACTAAACGGTTGCTGTGTCGAAACGCTTAGAATCCTTTATCTTTTAATCAATATTAATTCCTTATATTATTCTCTTTTTGTGGTGTCTTTTTCATTTTTAATTCTTAGTTTTGTGTGTCATTTGCTTTTGTAGCTATATATTTAACACCGCTAGGTCGCAGAAATTATTCCTTTTTTAATCGAATTTTTATTTGTACGGATTACTGTGAATTAGAAACACAAAAACCTGTGTTTCTAATTCATAGCAATCCATATAAAAATAGAGGAGATGAAAACGGAATTCTCGCATGAGCGAAACTGTTTATGTATCATTTATTTATTTCAGTGGCATAGCTTGTCTCGCGATGAACAAGCGAAGTACTACGAAATGGCCAGGAAGGAGAGGCAACTCCACATGCAGCTCTACCCTGGCTGGAGTGCACGTGATAACTACGCACTCCAAGTAAAAAAGAAGAAAAGAAAAAAAGACAGGAACCAAGACGGAGGTAATGTTAAAATAACTGAAATATATTACAATGCAAATTCAAATTTTTCTCTATCCTTGATGTAATGTTTCGCATATTTTTTCTCTTTTTGTGTTTAGGATCATGTTTCAGGCATTTTTTCATTACAACAACACTTAAAATGGTATTGCAGAAATGAATGAGAATTCTTGAAATGACATAAGAAATAAAGGTACTTACGTATTAACGCAACCAGGCCAAAATTCGCATAAATCGCCAAATTTGGCGACCCTACTTACGGCAACCTTATGTTAATTTATTAAAGCGAGTTCGTAGATTCGTTCGTTGCCTACATTGTGCCATTCGTAGATGTTTTTTTTAAGTTAAAAGATGTCGCTGTGTACATGGATTCTTGTCTATATTTCGAACTTTAAGCCTAAAATGTCTCCAAAAACGCGGTTTTCGCACATGGAAAAACTACGTTTTGAACACACGATTTAAACTAAAAATCCGAAACAAAAACAAAAAATTTAAATAGCAAAAACGTAAAGTTTCTAACCAAAAATATTTGACAAAAATCCATGTACAGAGCGACATGTTTTAACTTAAAAAAACATCTACGAATGGCACAATGTAGGCAACGAACGAATCTACGAACTACGCACACCTCGCTTTAATAAATTAACATAAGGTTGCCGTAAGTAGGGTAAACAAAATAATATAAAAAACTGTATTAAAAATTATCTGTAGTTAATAAATGTACATTTTCTTTCTATTCATACTTTTTTACTCAAACTTACAAATCGCGCCAACCTGGTTGCGATAATACGTAAGTACCGAAATGAAATATACATGAAATCAGAGTGACTTCAGTCAAACTTCAGAGGTACGTCACTCTTGGCTTTGATTATAAAGTGACTTATTAACAGGAAATACTCCTGAAGCATACTTACAAAAAGATCAAAAATAGAGTCAATATTCCGTAACCATGATCGGTTTTGCCATTTATAGATTAATGCAAATTTTTTATATAACATCCATCCTAAATCTGTTCCATGTAATTGGTAGTTTTGGGATGAATTACCGTGGCTTTTTGATTATAAAACGGACGAATGCTTTGCTATTAGAATACATGCAACAGTTGCTAGCAAGGGAAACTTGCATTTATATAAATTTCTACGTTTTCTTGGTACTTTCGTATTAACGCAACCACTTTGGAGCAATTTGGCGATTTGTTACAGATGAAAAGGTAAAAGTTACTTATACGGTGCAAGTTGGTGGTTTCCTCCCCCCCTTTTTTTAAAAAAAAAACTTTCCCAAACTATTCATATTTATCGTAAATCGGTAAACATTATCAACATATAAAAATAAAACATACTTTAGCAATTTAAAATACAAATTTGAATTATTAAATAAGAGATACGAAATGCATTAAAATAAAACACTTACATTCTTCTTGAATTATTTCTGTAATTATTTTGCGCTTTTCTTCTCCCGAAGTACACAGCGATCTGTTTTCGCTTGAAAACGTCTTCGTGCAATCAGCGGCTATAGAGGAAACGCATTTTCACGTTGCTCGCTTTAGAAAATTTACAAATTTTACTGCAGTTTCTTCCATTGTTGGCAAATTCCACAAGCTCATATTTTAAAACTAAAAAAAGTTAAAGGTAAAAAATATCACGATTTATCTATAAAAACCCTCGATACAACAAAAAATAACGCATACGAAAATGGCGGCGCTGCCCGACCAAAAGAAGCATGGTTTGCGAACAAATGACTATGTGCATAGTTACCAGAGTTTGATACATTCTGAAAATTCGGCGACTTCTACTTAGGTGGTTGCGTTAATACGTAAGTACCGTTTATTTTTCTTCCACTTTTCCCTGATTACTCAATTAATCCACATTCAATTTGCAATTTAAGCAAAGAAAAATCATAAAATCATTTTTTTTTTAAAATTTTACAAGGTTCTATTTTTAATGTCAGAAAACACGAAAGTTATCTACTTAAGGAAAGGGATATCTTCATGAAGGATTTTCGAAGAAGAAACATCACGCGTGGAGAGAAGTACGTAAACAACAGCGTGAGAAGCTCGGCCGCCAAAATTCGAATCTGCATCAAACTGCAAGTCTTGGCTTTGTCGGTATACAACGTCAACCTCTTTCTAAATTGATCTGGTTAGCGATGAATTTCACTTGATACTATAAAAAGCAGGACAGACTTAAAGCCCTAAACAAATGAATCCTGAGAAAGCTTGTAGTACTTTACAGAAAGGAATTTGTTTTTATTGTTTAAGAAGATTATAGTTCTTTGGGTATTATTTAGAGGGGATTGCCCTTTCAGTAGAAGTATGAGGGAATTTAGATTATGGCATTGTTATGGATAATGGCTGAATAGGTTTTACCAAAAGCAAAATTCTAAATTTTTAATCTGAAGTAAGGGAAAAACAGTTTAACCCCGCTATAACGTACTTCAAGGGGTTCGCTATTTCTAATCTGATAAGGAAAAAATGGATCATTTCTCAAATTAGTGTAACACCTGATTGATGAATTAAACAGAAAGATTGATTTGCGTTAAAAAGATGTTAATAATAACTTTAATCAAAAAATATAGTATAAGTTAATGGCAATTATTACTACTTGCAATTACTAAATTTCTTCTTCCTTGTTATTCGGTTTCTCAAAACATTAAAAATTTTACACGAGAAATTACTTATCGTAAATACCCGTCCTCCCTCCCTGTTATACATTTCCATCTAAATTATGAATTATGAATAAGCATTAGTCTTGAACAGAGTTCTGTCTTACACTTGGAATCAAAGAACTCGAAAGGAATCCAAGAACTGATTCAAGCTCTCGTTGGATCAATGGTTCTTTGGCTCAATGCGTGACTCAGCAAGATTTTCTGAAATGTTTATTATGTGTTCTGTTTATCCATGAGTTGAATGCTGCACTTGCCTCGCATAGCCTTTTGTTTAGAGCTCAGAGAAAACAGTAACGTAAAGATGTTTTTTGTTAATCTAGTACCCTAAACAGCATGAATTTCAGAGCTGTAATTTTTCAGTTGAAAGTTGCAGAAATTCTGGAAAAAAGTATGAAAAATTAAAAAGGGGGGGGGAGTGCAAGATATACATAAAATTCGTTATATTCTATTTTTATACATTTGGAAATTCGCTATAGCCGTATAAAATAGCATAATTAGAAAACTAGATGGGACCAAAAATTTAGTGCTTTATATGCGGAGTTTCGTCATAGCGGAGTATGGCTGTAGTTGATAGTGAAAAAATCAGTGTTTATCAATACCGTTTCTTCTTTTGAAGGGAGAGATAGGTTTCTGTTTGTTTTCTTATATTGTTTACAACTGTTACTACTATATAAACGATACTTTTGTATTATTTTCTGCTTAATCCTCATTTATATATTTTTGATGCATTTTGTTTGCTATAATAAAACAAGTTTTTTAAATATCACATGTATAACTAAATATGAAAAAAATGCCATTCCTTTGTTTTATCATAATAAACTGAAAAATTAATTTGATATATTTTCCGGTACTTACGGATTGACGAAACCAGTTTAGATTGCCAGATTTTCAGAATTTGTCAATTCTGGCAGCCTAACCATTCTTCTGGCAACTGTGCTGATAACAATTCTTCAGTAACGCAACGCCGCCATTTTTGTATATTTTTTGCCTTAAACTTAGTTTTAAAATATTGTCGAATTTGCCAGCAATGGAAGAAACTACGGTAAAATTTCTGCAAGAATACAGAATTTTGCTGAAAATTGTCTGAAGATAACAACAGCGAAATGTGTTTCCTTGATAGCCGCTTTTACCGAAGATTGCACGAAGCCGATTTTCCTCAGTTCCCTGACGCTTTTTAAGCGAAAACGGATCACAGTGTACGCTAGAATAACGCAGAACAATTACAGAAAATTTTGAAGAAGAATATAGGTGTTTTATTTTTAATGTATTACGCAATCCTTATTTAATAATTCAAATTTATATTTTAAATTGCTAAAGTATGTTTTCGGTACCTACGTATTAACGCAACCACCTTGGAGTAATCTAGCGTTTTTTTTTACAGATGAAAAGATAATAGTTACTTATCGGGTGCAAGTTGATGGTTTTCGCACCTTTTTATAGAAAGATTCCCAAAATATCGATATTTAAGTAGGTAAACCTTATGAATATGTGAAAAACAAAAAACGTAATTTAGCGACTTAATTTACAAATTCGAATTATTAAATAAGGATTACGTAATACATTAAATAAACACTTACATTCTTCTTCAAATCTTTTTTGTAATTTTTTTGTGCTATTCTTCTCTCGAAGTACACAGCGATTTGTTTTAGCTTAGAAAATATCAGAGAATTGCAGACTCGACACCAAAAAGAAAAAAAAAAAAAAAAAAAAAAGGTCACGATTTGTTTATAAAAACCGTTGGAATTTGTAATACAACATGAGTGAGTTGAGTGCACCGCTATGATGGCTTCCGACCACGGACATGAACCAAACGGCAGGTATATACCATTACGGCAGGGGAAGACTCCAAAGTAACAAGGTTGAATATTGCATACTAATAACAGTTTCTACACTTTGATAACTGCAGGCACTAAGCGTGGTTATCTGCTTTAAGTTCTGAACATTTGAAACATAATATTATTCACCTATTGTTTCTGCTTACGCAGTGTCTTGAGATTTTCTCTATTTTACCAAGGTCTACTCTGCTTTTGAGTGTGTTAGACGTCCACATTGCCCAGGCACAGACCGGTGGTTTCTTCAAATGCCAGGTTCTTGTATGTACACAATGAAAGTAATAATGGTCTGTGTCGCCTTCCTCTCCGCATTCGCAGAAAGGAGTATCCCCAAGTGTGAATCTGTTGAGATATACTGGGAATGGTCCATGACCTATCAAGAACTGGGTAAGGCTAGCACAGTGGGTCTTTATTTCATGTTAACTTTTGGCAGTAAGCGAAATGTCCTTCGTCCTACCTCTGCCTCTGTCCATCTACTTTGCCAATTTAGTAGCAGACTTGTCAAAG